CATACTTTAATTTTTAATTATTATTTTTAGAAAAAAATTATATTTAAGCATTGTACTTTCAAATATAGCATCATACTTTCATTTTTAATTCATATTTTCAAAAAAAAACTTATGCCGTGTTACTTATTAATCCATTGTACTTTCGCAGTACAGTGGTTAAATAAGAATATAAAACAAAAAATTTAAAAAATGAAGATTTAGAAATGATTGTTATATATATATATATATATATATATATATATATATATATATATATATATATATATATATATATATATATAACACTAGACAAATAAAAAAACACATTCACAAATCACAACAGGAGGGGGGGGGTGGAGAGGGGGATACCGATCATTTGACAATTGTCATATATTAAACAAATGTATAAATGGGGATGGGGGCAAAATGGTAATTCGTCTATGAAAACAATAGCGTTGTACTTATTTTCAATAAAAATTATGTTATTTTCTTATTTAAGTATTGTACTTCTAAATATAGCACCATACTTTCATTTTAATTCATATTTTCAAAAAATAATTATGTTTTTTCGTATTAAATCATTGTACTTTCAAAGTACAATGGTTAAATAAGAAAATAAAACAAAAAAAAATTAAAAAAATGAAGATTTAGAAATTAATGTTATATATATAATTACACAAACAAACAAAGTACATTTCAAAAATCCCCATTTTTTTTTGAAAAAATAACTTCAAAATATGAACTGGAACTTTTTTGTTCACAAGATACCCTTCTGATTGTACTTTTAAAAACAATGGTGATTTGTATAAAACGAATATATTTGTATCCATTTATAACATTAATCATATATTCAATAAAAATTGTGTTATTTTCTTAATTGAATTTATAAACTGGATTATGCTTTTCATAAGAGTTTTTAGACATATTTATGGTTCGAGTGTTGTAAATGTATGAAATCACATAGTACATTTTTTTGTCCTTATGGCGAAACACATTATTGTTTAGATACCATACACCAAAGGATATTGCGTTTGTTCTTGTGGGTGGTTTTATCTGAACCAATAAGAATGTTGACTTTCAGATCTACACTGAATAATATTTCAGTTTTTTAGTCTTAAATCCACTATGTTGTTTATTTTATCTTATGTATGGAACACAATTATAGATATTTTTCCAAGAGATAGAAACATAATTGGATAGATTTTTCATGTACATAACTAATATAGAAATGAATGAAAATAATATGCTATAAAAATAAGATAAATCAATATATTGTTTATCTATTTGTCAACCTGTCCACCGGACGGGTATGACACTAGTTAATTTATTTGTTATTAAGAAAAGACAAAATTGCAAAAATGGTCCTTGTGGTATGCATTTTTTGGGGATTTTAGTCCAAACCTCAACTTTTTTGGATTGGTGGTCTTTTTGGGCTGGTTTACATGCAATTTTGGTCCCTATCCAAACTGTAACAATTGGTAAAAATAGGAATAATCGTACGATGCTATGTTTTGATTATTAAACAATATGAGTATTTTATCAAGAATGGTTGAAAGCATTTAACCTCTTTTATTTAGATAAGTTCTTGTGAAATATAAAACAAGTAACTAACGATAATTTCGTTATGATGTATGACTACGAACCATCACCGGTTTGTGAAATTAGCATATAACATCATTTAAACGCAACAAACTTAATTTTTGTATCTACATGTCTGTAGTTGATAAGTAAGTTAGGTTCTATGTAAAACGTTTGCTTAATAGATGTGAAGGATCTAAATTTGACAAATATACGGACCAAAGTGACAAAACGTGTTTAACGATATGGTTAACCGGTTAAATGTCACGAAATTATACATTGCTCAATAAATTTTATATTTAAATAAATTAAAATATAAAATGAATTATTATAAGGTATAATTAAAATGTATTTAAGTGTTTTTGAATAAAAAGAATAAAACATAAACATTAAAGTTCAAATACACAAAAACTACATTGTTATTTTATACTAAGTATACATGTATGCATTTGTATATATGTATTATTATCTAGTGAATGACTAGTTATGAGTCATGAATTAAAGTGATTTCATGTAAGTTTTATGATGTCTAAATCAATTAAGATAAGAGAATTGGTGGAGATAAGTGCCAACTTAACTAATAAGTGCTTAATCACTTAAGACATTTTACTAAGAATGCTTATTAATCCCTCTTCTAATTTTTGAGATTAAGACCTTCCCTATCCTTAACTAGAACTCCTAACTAACTAAATAACTAGTAGTTAATTAGTTAACTAACTCTATCTCTAAACAACCACCCAAGCAAGTGGCTAGACAAGATCACATCACTTAAACTCACATCCCATCACAAGCTAGTCTAGGTTTTGTCCCCTTATCCTCTTCCACTCTTTTCTCCTTCATAATCACGAAATTTCATCTTCATTTTACCATCATTTGACCAGCAAATACTCCAGGGAATTTCTCTCAACCTTCATCTCATTTTCAAGCACAATAACTTCCTTCCAAAGCCATCAAAACCATAAACTAAAGGGCTGCTGTCCCTTTTGTGTTTCAGCCACCATTTCACCCATCTACACCTTCCTTTTGCTTGATATTTTTACCACCAAATACCCCTGGAAGTTACTTGTTTTGATACTCAAAATTATTGATTCAAAACAGTGAGTAAACTACCCTTTTCTTGCTCTTTTGCTGTGAAATTTTCGTGACAGCAACATAGCCAAAAGAGTGGCTGTTTTGGAGCATCAAACCAACAACCAAAAGTTCATCTTCAACCTTCCATTCTTCAAGTATTCACATAAGGTGAGTTCATACCCCTACATTTTCATGTTTTCTTCAAGTTTTAAGGGGGGGGGGGGGGAATACAAGTTAGAACACTAAACATAACTTAAATTTAAATGATAGCTTTCTACAGAAAAGTTGAGTCCTGTTCACGGACTGTTTTGACCATCTTAAACTTAATATCTTTCAAAACTGTACAATATGAAAATAGGTCAAGTTTATACCTTTCTAATGACTACCCGCACACGTTCATATGATTTTTCTACAATTTATGGCGATTTTTATAAAACTACCTGTCATTTCAGAAGTAATTTCGGACCAGTCTGTGAAGATGTTCATTTTCACACTAGTTTGAGACCACTAAAAATCATAATAAAAATTAGGAACAAAGTAGACTCATTTTATAAACTCTCAGAGGTGACGGATTCAGTTTTTAACTTACGAGGATTTTTCTATGAGCTTTCTAAAAACAGGGACAGTAAAGGGTAAAAATGTCAAAAGTGGTTTATAGATTTATTAACACCTTCTAACATTTTTGAGCAATGTTTATAAATTAAGGAAGTTAAAACACAATAATTTAAATATGTTTAATTACCATTTTTACAAAAGTGATAAGTACAAAAAGGTCTTTAGTAACAACAATTACAAAACATACCAAATCATCTTTCAAAACTTATACATATATATAACCATATACATATATAGGTTTTGTTTACAAAATTGTCTTCTACATCAAAAATTTTACTTTACTCGTTTTTATCAAATGAATCACTTGTGATTTATTACTACTATGTGAAAACTCTTGTCATACTTTGTGTGCATTAGACTTACGCAAAGTATATAATGATTTCAATGTACCTTTCATTGTTAATTCGTTTTATACATTCTAAAAACTTATGATTTATGCTTTGTCAAACATTGTGAAAAAGGATAAACTTTGCATACAAAAACTATCACTTTAATACAGGCTTAGTTGAGAATCCATGAGATGTGTATATCTTCAAACGTTACTTTTCTTTATTAGAAAGTAATGCTGCAAGTCCTGTCTATAACCAGAGTCTCCCGTTCGGAGAACGTGTCAAATGTGTATAGATCTATGCGGGAAGTCATGATCCCGCGCCCTGACTGTTAGCTACAGTCCGTCCTTTGGGGTGACAGTTTGTCATAACGCTACGACGCCTGAAGAACGTCGCTACAGGCATATTATGTTTAGTATGGTTATAAAACTCACCGGATATACAATTAATACGGTATTATGCTTTTATGAACGAGTAGCTATTAAAACTATGCTACAACTTTTAAGCATGTCGGTTGCTTGCGATTTTCGGTCTTAGAGACTGCTAGTTATGTTAGGAAAATAAGGGTTTTTCCTGGATACAAACCAAACAACTAATAGGAAAATAAGGAATTTTCCTGGTGCAATTACTTACAACTTATAACACGAACATTCATATGCATTTCATACTTTTATAAGAAAATAAGGGTTTTTCTTGGAAAACACAACAGTTCGTATCTCAACCATTAGGGAAAATATGGGATTTTCTGGATCTAATACATTCATTGTCAACACAACGAATCATAACTCTTTACATTTGAAATACTGCGTTTTCTGGAAAACATACACGAACTTTCGAATGTCGTACATTTTCTCAAAACACTACTTATGAACTCACCAACTTAATTGTTGACACTTTTTTTGTGAAATAACTTGTATTCTCAGGGAACCGCTAAGCAGGTTTGGAGATCAACTTTTGGGGATTAACGTGCTGACGTTAATTACTTCTTTTGAAAGATGTTTATGTATTTATCTTTTGATCATGTAACGAATACAATTATGTAAACATTTTGAAAAACTTAATATATATGGTGGTGTGTACTTTCCTTTCTATGAACTATGATGATACTGAATATGACGTCCTCCGCCCTCGAACGTTTCCGCCGTTCTGGTTTGGGGGTGTGACACAAACTAAAAAGACTATTATACCCTTAATGAATTTAGTTTTCATTTTTCTTTCACTTTTTAAAATTATTATTATTATTAAATATAAAAACGGGCCCACCTCCCCCTCACTCACTCTCTCTCTCTCTCTCTCTCTCTCGTGTGCAATCATCTTCTTCCTGCAAAAAAACCCACACAACTTCTTGTGAAAATTAAAACTCAGACATTCACACATACAGACACATTGTGGTCTCTTATCTTCTTCATCAATACACACATACACTTAATGGAGAAAGCTTCAGTGACCTTATCTCTCTCTCCCACTCTCTCAATCGACCACTACATCCCAAAATACATACCACAACATTCATCTTCTTCAATCTCATACATCAATCCATCTTTACCTCCACCTCTACAAGATTCATGTATATATAACATTGAATCACCAACAAAAATCTGCAAGATTTCAGTACTTATTAGCAATTCGATGATTGGTATGAAGAATAATAGGCATAAGGGACCTCTGATCCATGGTTTTCATCTGATTGAGAAGGCTAATCACGAACAAGGCAGTGACAGGGAAGGCTCGGGGTGGTAACGAAAGCAGCAAGGGCTGCTTATGTAACACCCCAAATTTCAAATACCAAAATAACTTAACATAGTCCCAAAACTTCCAAAATTCAAGATTTAAATACTAACGTAATTGTTATTAATAATAATAATAATAGTGGAAGCAAATAGAAATTTAATTAAACACTTGGTGCGCTACGTCTTCCTCAAAACTTGTCGCCTTCTTCAAGTCTGTACTTTATCCTTTCCATTCCCGCTGCCACTTGCTATGTTATTTCCTGGGTTGCGTGCATTTAAAAATTCTAATGGGTAAGCCTAGGGCCTAGTGAGTTCGTGGGTTTCATGCATATTGACGTCAATAAAATAAAAATAATGCAACAATTTATCAATATAAATCTTTTCATTTCTTTCCACCCTTGATGACATATTAGGGAACTACTGTCATTTCCAGGGAACGAGTCCCTCCGCCGGGCACAACAAATATGCTTACGGCTAGAAAAACAGAGCGTAAGCTCTCCGCCGCGTACTAACACCCTGTACGACGACTAATAATAAGACCATGTAAATACACCTGTTCCCTATATGTCACCCACCATTTTCACCATTTTATATGAAATAATTCACAAAATTTCACACAAATATTCATAGCAATAACAACGGTAACATATAATTGCAAATAATTTAGAATCAACTTTTCATGCAAGCAACCACAAAATTCACACGAAACTCACCTCGTTGGCGTTAGGTCTTAACCAAAGCTTATCACGCTACACGCTCCCTACATTTAACCAACATATTTCTAAGGCAACAATCCTAGAAAAACATCCTATGCGATCATTTTGGTTCCGATATCCACATATCTTGTTCGACCCACCAATAGTTATTTACTAACATATTTACGACATTTGTAAAATCTTACTTAAATATATGCCAACATTGCATAAATCAGATATCTAAACATATGATGTCATATTTTAATTTAATTTGCTAAACTAATAGAATTTTACTCTCAGAAGAACATATAAAATAAATAGATACATAAATAAGTGAATAAAAATAAATAAATAAACTTTCACAGCGTTCAAAAATACGACCATGTGAAGTTGTCGTATTTAACTTTTGAATAAGACCCCAGTTCATAAAAAAATACTTCAGGGACTAAAATTAAAGTTTCATGAACTTAACTTTTCTTTCAACAAATGCGTGCTTATTAAGCACAAGGTTAGATTCAGCAAACCTTTCAAAAGGTAAGGATCATTTGTGTAAATATCTTTTCAAGCAAGTAAAGGAACACGATTCATTTTGCCCAAAAAAAAACTGAAATAAAAGGAGACGCGCCCAAGGATTGATAACACAACCTTTAGTACAATCACCTTCATTGACCAGTAAACTCCTACTATATTTTGGTTTTAAAATTGTAAATAATTTATTTTAAAACACTGAAAAACAATTCCGCCCACCCAAAAGAAATATACCCGGATAGTCATCTTCTTTACCCGCAAACAACCTACTGCCATTTTTAGAATATAATGCATCTTCGAAAAAGTATGTAAAATATTTTTTTTAAAATTACCACAAAACATCTCCACCTTCTGTTGGCATATTCCCGTAAAAATTTAGCAATAATTCTATAAACATACGAGTTGCAGGTTTTATTTTCAAAAACTTTATTTTTAGATTTTTGTCAAATTACTATTAGTGTGGGTCGAATCAAGACAACATATGGAACCAAAATACACCTATCATGCATGTAAATCTATCCAAACAACAATATCAAACTTAAATCACGTAACATTACCTCAATTTCAAGAACCACTCCGAAAATCTTCAAGAAATTCAACACCCGATTTCTCCCTTGATTCTTCGTCTTTTTCACAATTCCAGTGGGGTTTCCACTTGATTTTTCATGCTATATATAATGCCTAAGTCTATAACCGGCGAAACCCTTTCATTTGCTCGCATTTAACTAGCCTAATCAAGGTGACGGTTTTGATCATTAAGCCTCATAATTTGTATATAATTAACCCATTAATTGCGAACTAATCCTCTTTCTTTTAAATTGATATAATCAAATTATATATATTACATATATGTTTTTTTGATACAAGTTATTACAGCTTAAGTAGCTCCTGCGCTTCTTCTGTCTCGGAAGGAAGGTGCGAAGGTGGGGAATCAAAAGGGGGCTGTCGCCTCGATTGTTTTCTCCGGGGAAACACCCACTTCGGTGGTGGGTTCATGCTAGGGAACGAAGAAGAAACTGAGGATGAAAGGGGGAAAGGCAGCAACGATCACAATAGTCTTCTTGGGTGGGGGAGTTTAGTGACTATGATCGACAGGTGGAAAGGGTGGAGCAACAAGGGGCTGTTGCCTCGAAGTCTTGTCGGAATTGGCCATCACCCGAAAGAGAAGACATGCGAAGTAGAAGAGGCAGCTGCCTCTGGTTCTTCTTCTTGATGGCTACAACAAATTTGAATGAAAAGAAGGGTGTTTGGAGCTGGTTTATCTCATCAAAGCTTTGGGTGTGAAGAAGGAGAAATGGGTTCGAGATTTAGGTTCTTATTTTGGTTTACAACTTCGATTTTCATCAGAACAATGGTGGTTTCAAGGTTTGATTGGGGGAGAAAAACGATCGTCAAATATGGGTACTGCAGATATATATATATATATATATATATATATATATATATATATATATATATATATATATATATATATATATATATATATATATATAGAGAGAGAGAGAGAGAGAGAGAGAGAGAGAGAGAGAGAGAGAGAGAGAGAGAGATAGAATGGGGCGTGGGCCCTATTTTATTATTCATAAAACAATAAATTAAATAGAAAAAAATATAAAAAATATATCACAAGGGCAATTTAGTCATTTTAATTTTCGGAGTGACCATTTTCACATACAAATTAGTCCAAAAGGACCACCAATCCAAAAAAGTCGAGGTTTGGACTAAAACCCCAAAAAAATGCATACTACGGGGACTGTTTTTGCAATTTTGTCTTAAGAAAATAACTAGTTGAGTGGTTTAATCGCTTTTTGGATTTAACTTTATTTTATTGTAAAGAATAAGGCTCTAATTTTAATTTAAGTTTTTAAGTTTTCAATTTAAGTTTTATTTTATTGAAAATTATGCTTACTTATATGCATGTTGGAAGGTTTATAGAATAATCTAATGAAATATATTATTCTGGTTAATTTAAGAAATAGATTACAACATGCACTTGCCTTGTTGTCACTATTATTTATATTACGTGTAACTTCATATTTATTACAATTGAAAATATAAGATTTTTGGTTACATAAGTCATAAGTTATGGATAACAAACATAAAATATATACATACATACAAAATATGCATACATTCATAATACAATCATCGCGTTTAGTGTAAAAAAAACAATAATGTGTTATATGCATCGTTAAGTATGACAAGTCATAATAACTAATCAGGTATTTGATTGACGGGCAATTAATACAGCTATATGTTTATCTTTAAATATACATTAATATCAAAAACAAAATACATAGCTTCATAAATTGTTCCTATGTTTCACAAAATCTAAAGTTTTGTCTCTAATTTTAAAAAACCTCACGGAGGGTCCCTGTGGTTTCAAAACTTTTAACAAAAGGTCTTTATTGCTAACTCCGTCAAGTTTTGTCCGTTAAGTGAAGGATATTCCTGTCATTTCACTATTACAGGGACCATTTATGAGTTTTTTTTATTTAAACAAAAAGAAAAAAGTAAAAAATAATTATTTTAATATGCAATAGGCATCCTCGTCCTCCTCTCTCTCTCTCACTCTCTCTCTCTCTCTCTCTCTCTCTCTCTCTCTCTCTCTCTCTCTCCTCTCTCTCTCTCTCAACACCAAATGCAGATCAAGAAAAACAAAGTTGAAGTTATTCTTCAATTCCTCAGGAAACCTTTTCCTCTTACTCTCACACAAGTTTCAGTTAATCTCTCTCCCTCTCTTCATCTCCTTCATCATGTTCACTTGCAAATGGTAGCCCTCAAATCGAAGGTCCTACCTAAAGATTAAAAGTATTGACGATTGAAATGGAAATGTCGACCACCATCAACCTCTTTTCAGAGTGAAGAAGATATCATAGATATGGTCTCTTCCATTTTGATGGGGGTAAAGCAAAGTGTCATCAAGGGGCCAAGGGGTAAAGCACTGGTTCCTATAGATTTATCCATAGTTGTATCAAAAGGGACATACGCTTAAATTCATTTACACTGATTTCTTCTTTAGTTAAATGGGCCATCTTTTAATCAACTACACAAAACAAAATCGAATCACAACAAAACAAAAATAAAGAAGTGATTTTCCATGGTTTTTAATTTTTTTTATTAGAGCCACACAAACACACACCTGATTACAGACTCGTCTTTCTCTCACCCTCGATTATCATCACCAATTTTAATTTTTTCATTCTTTCACACCATCCCCTATTAGAGGTTTCCGGTCACCAAAACTTACCTCAATCTTCCATCTGACCTCGTACCTGTTACTTTTAAGGAAATCATCCAAGCCCTTCAAAAGTCTCATGGTTGGACCTCCCAGTGATTGTCCCCAGTAGATATCTTGAATCTATTCTTTTACCTCATTGTTGCCAAATATTGATGGAAGTTTGATGTTATTTTTGCAATTGAATTTTACAGTCACCCTTTTAGATTTGAAGGGGATAAATCGGGATTCGATGATAAGGATGGGTATCGCGGTGGTCCGAGAGGGCCTTATGGGGAATTAGGCATTGAAAAGGGTGGAGCTTTGGCCGACTATCAGCCTGTTTTAATAGGGTTGCATATTTTTTCATTTTTTGATAAGCTTTGTTTAACAGGAGAGAGAGAGAGAGAGAGAGAGAGAGAGTAAGTATGTGTGTAACGTCCGGTTCCTAGTATGTATTTAATTCTCAATTTATTCATTTTTGTATAGAAACTCGATGAGTTGGAGGCCCCAAACTCGTCAAGTAGACATGGATTTAGACGCGGGTTGTGAAGTCTACTTGATGAGTCGAGGAGCCTCAACTCGACGAGTAGGACTAGCATAGTGAAACCATAATTTCCAGGGTTTTGCACCCTATTTAAACACCTTAACCTCCATAATCTACCCTTATTTACAACCTTCATTGTCTCAAACCCTAGCCACAAAACCCTAATCCACTTTTGAGAGTTTTGATCCATTCTTGTGCATTCTTTGTGATTTTGAAGAATAGGATACTTGAAGAAGGAGCAAGGACATGTAAGAGAAGATTAGATCCAGAAGTTGAGCTTCATTTCTGGTTCATCTGAGGTATAAAGCTCCTACCTTGCTTCTAGTATGTTTAAATCTAGTTTTAGGAGGTTTTCTCCATATTTGGTCAAAAAATGTTAGTCTTTGGGACTTGGACGTCCCATGGGGACAAAGCTTGCATATCTAGGGTCTATAGGGGATTTCATGGCATAAATGTGCCAACTTTATGGCCATGGAAGTCACATGCAACTTGTGGACCATCTTTCTGGCCTTTTGAGCCAAGTAGTCTATGCATGCAAGTAAAGATAGGAACTTTACATGAACTAAGTGTCCATAGAGTCCAGATCTATGATCTTATGACTTATCTTGAAGTTTTGATGGTTTTTGAGGATGAGACTAAGCCATTTTGAGTTAGGGTTAGGGCTCATTTCTTCTTGGATGAGTATTAATGGGTAAAGTCAGAAACTTTACCCTCCTAGATGTATTTTCGACTCAAATCTGGAATATGGGACATAGACTAAAAGAATAATGGCTTAACACATTAAGAAAGCTTATCGAACTAAAGAACTCGACAAGTTCATAGAGGAACTCGAAGAGTTGAGTCGAAATGCCCCGATTCTGTAAAGGAAGGGCTCGACGAGTTCAAGGATGGACTCGACGAGTTGGGTTGGAAAGTCCCGATTCTGTGGATAGGAGGAACTCGACGAGTTCGTGAAAGAATGTTGGATTGCGATTTTAGGTTTTTATGAGTTTTGGGACTTGATGAGTTGATGAGCCAACTCGATGAGTTGAGTCAACCCATAATGCTGACTTTGACTAGAATGTTGACTTTGACCAGGGTGTTGACCTTGGCTTTGACTTTGACCTATGTTGATCCTTAAGGGGGTAATGAGTATGAAAGGGAATTAAGGAACTCTTTTATTTATAGGAGTTTGAGTTGGGTGGATTGTCGGAGCCGAGGATTTCCAGATACTTTACAGGATTTGAGGTGAGTTACCTTCTAGTAGAAGTGGATCGAAGGCACCAATGTTGGCTCACTAGTAGTTGATTATAGTTGAGACGATTTTATTTGTAACAATTGTCTGGCATGTCACTATTTGTTCTACTTTATGTGCTAGTATGCCATGATATTATGTAGGAGGGCTAGGATAGACCCCGTTACTAGTTGTAAGGACCGAGGGGGTAGGTCGGGCACACAGATATGCCTAACAGTATGTTTATGCTATGTAGTATGTGGTAGTGGTAGGGGTGAAATAGTACCTGTAATTGGTTGAGATAAACTGGAGGGTAGGTTGGGCACCCAAATATGCTTGACAGGGTAGGTTGAGCACCTAGATATGCTTGACAGGGTAGGTCGGACACCCAAATATGCCTGACAGGGTAGGTCGGGCACCCAGATATGCCTGGCAATATATGATTAGGTGGTATGATAGGGGAACTCACTAAGCTTCGTGCTTACAGTTTTCAATTATGGTTTCAGGTACTTCTTCTTCAAAAGGAAAGGAGTCGGCATGATCGCAGCGCATCACACTATGTTTTCCACATATGAGGTCTTTGGTATTATACTCTGATGATGTTTCATTATGACATGTTTTGATTATTGATATATTGGTTTTGATATGGATGACACTATGGATGTTTTTATACTATCAGTTTTTATATTAACTTAATTAAAATAAAAATTTTGGCCTTGAATTTTGGAATGTTACAAGTTGGTATTAGAGCCTTGGTTTGAGGGATATAGGCATACTCTCGTACGTGTCTGAACTCAAATCGAGGGTTTGAAAGATTTTTACAAGGAAAAAATAAAATTTCAAAACATTTAAAATATGGTTTTTGAGAAAAAACGAGGAATGTGATGCGTGCAATCGGTCGAGCTCAAGCCGAGATGGTAATGTATTTCACACTCATAATCACTGAATAGCTCTACCCATCGCTGTTGCCTCATGTTCAACTCTTATTGGTAAAAAATGTGTTGTAGGCTTTTATGGTCAGTGGAGATGGTGCACTTGGTTCCATAGAGATAATGTCTCTATATTTTTAATGCGAAGACCACTACTTCCAACTCCAAATCGTGAGTTGTATAGTTGACTTCGTGTGCTTTCAGCTGCCTTGAGGCATAAGCTATAAACTTTCCTCACTGCATGAGCACACAAACTAGGCCCTGATTGGATGCATCACAATAGACAACGAAGTCCTCCGTCCCTTCGGGT